GAGCTTCGAATTTTAGAGTCCGCATGTTACTGAAAGACGCAGTAAAATATTTGGTGTCAATTCCTATCTTATTCTAGCATGATAGTTTTTCTTCCAAGTCGTATTCTAATGAGGTTAGGTAGGCCAGCCAATCATGACTGATCACCGCTCACCTGAATGACGGCGAATTGGTAAATTCCATACTAAGGATTGCGTCGTAAGAGTACGTAATGACAGCGCTGTATTGAAACCAAGATAACCATGATGGCATGTGCTTCTGATAAAATCCACCCAACAACATACAGGTCAGACCATATACAGCAGCCACGACAATTGACTTCTTGAAATCCATCACTGTAGCGCCGATCCACAAACCTACAGACTGAACAAGAAAGAACGCTTAATGCAAAGGTCTGTTTACTTTTTGTTCCTAAACATTGATGAAAAAGTCCTCCCTTTTTCAACACTGAAGTAGATCTGTTTCGTAATGTTCGAGAACGGTGCCTAGACAACACTTGCGTCTCCGAAACTTTTAATTAGACGTGAAAATCTCAGAAGCCTTTATCACGAGTCACGAAGTATCTTTTTTTGTGCTTCATTCGTTTCCGAGTCTGAATTCGTTTACGTCTCAGTGTCGGATTTTCACACAAGGGTCTCGATCGGCGAGTCCCAGATTTCAGCTTTCTTTAATTTAGTTTGTGTAAAGCCAGCAATAATATCAGTGACGACTGTCTGTTTTCTCGACCGTCCATGATATCGTAGGATATCAGGTCAGTGACCTGTAAGATAACGCGGAACACTATGAATAATGATCGGCTAATCTTGATAGAATATTAAGGCCGCCGCACCAGAAGGCAAAAGATTCGTGTGCGAAGTGAGGTAAAAAGACCCTTTCTTGCACACCATGCAAGAAAGTGACTTTCTAATTTCCTTTAATTTCTCCAAAAAAATGTCCACATAGCCTGCATAGCGCTTTTGCTTTGGCGACGAAGCGGTGAACGAATAACGAAGCAGCGAGGGAACCGGTTAAGAGTCATGGCGCCTTCGCCACAGAAATCACTGGCTAATGCCTCTAATGCAAAAACGTCACTTGTTTTCGCACCTGTCCGGTAAGGGCTGTTAACAATAGTACAAAGAGTGTGCCAAGGAAAGCCTCGCTCCTGTTTAATCCCGCCATCCAATATACAATGATTAAAAACAGCGTGGGCTGTAACACGACCAGCGGTAGTTCACTGGAAAGCTTGGCTAAATAGTATGCTGATAGTCTGTAATACCCAGCCGCTCTCTCTTTGTTCACCACAGTTCTTTCATTTGGAACTGAAAATACATAAGAAAAACAGATCAGTCATGATGAACAAATATAATGCAAAGAAAGTAAAAGACCAATGCGCATGAGCGAGTGGAATCCGTTTGTGTAATAACAATCATTCCCATAACAATCGTCCCCAGGCCGCGCTCCTTTTGGTCAGCACCAAGAGTCGCGACCTCTGGGTGGGTCCAACACCGGAAGTCCGCGATTCACGGACTTCCCGTCAAATCTGACAAACCTGATTGGCCGAGAATACGAAACGAATACTCTGCGCATGCTTAGAAAATCGAGTTTGGCCAGAGGACGTGATTCTTGGTGCTGACCAAAAGGAGCGCGACCTCTGGGGACGAGAATGAATAACAATTAGAAAACTGATCATCAATAAACCCATCACCTTAAAGGTTTTTAACTCAACAAGAAAAAATCTTCCTTTTTGATCCCCTGAATTGCAAGGCATTTCTG